GTGTCTGCGCGCACCAATACAATGAATCCATATGGGCCTAATGGGGCACATGGAGGAACATACACCCCACACAGAATCCATTAAGCTGCTTTATAATTTCTCTCTCACTAACTCATACAGACTTTTATTCACTCACACACAAACTAGTGATGGCCTAACCCAGATTGATTCAGAATAAGTAATAAGTGATAAATAATTATACAAAATGGTAAGGACATCCGCCTCATATCCACAAGAAGTAAAAACGCCCAGAGGATCATGGAGTGATGAATAAAATGAACTTCTCAGTTACTCTGTGGAATCAAATGGCAAATCTGAACTCTAGGGTGATTCCTAGGATTAGCATATGCAGAAGCTCCAAATTTCAGCCTGCGTTTGTGTTTTTGTGTGGGTGGGAATAGGGCGTGTGTAATATGGAAGCCCATCTGCAATCAGCCAAGTGTGATATTGCTCCTCATCTCTCAATTAGAACATTTAAAAACACTGTATTAAGCTTTGCGTTAGAAGTGATGATGGTGGAGGTGAGAGATAATAAAATGGGTAAATTAATGATAGAAAGCTACAGTGACATCTAAGATTCAATGTGAATACCACAGATTTTACCCAAAATCTGATGAAAATTATTTTATGGCTTTTATGCAAACACATTATGCAGGTAAAAAATATGTATACTGCAGACCATCAGAGGGATTGTTACTTGTAGTTGATTAGAGGTGACAGCTCTAGATTTGTGACTTCCAGGTCATGTGGGAAGAACTGATGTGTGTTTGTGTGTGAGAAAGTAAATATGCGCACAAAGATGGAGGTTTGACCACCCCTGGAAAGTTGATAAAATGAAAACATTTCAATCTTGAAAGCCTTATATTCAGTCAGTTAAAAGTGAGGATGGGCGATATGGCCAAAAATGTTATCACAATAAAACCATTTCATTTAATTCAATATCGATAATTATCACAATATATGTCAAATCGTTATTTCTTTCAAGTTTAAAGACAGATTTTTGCTTCTGAGTGAAAAGTGAAGAGACCAAATGGTTAATTGTGTGGTTAAACTTTTCTTTATGATCAGAATGTGACAAACACTTGATGCCAAACAGTGGATCACTTAAATCTGAGGTAGAACATTCAAAACCATTATGATCATATCTTTTTCAACAAATCTTATTAGTAAATCTTTTTTCAGTCCCTTTTCCTCAACAAAATAAATATTTTTATGGAAAAATTAAAGACTAATTTGTCCTTGATTCAAATGAATTAAACCAAATATTTATTGACGATATATAGAACATTTATTATATTGATATTGAGGGAAATTATATTGCGATGATTATCATTATTGTTTTCTTGCAGATTAATTTAGATTTTAGATAACAATCCTAAACTTAATCCTGTAAGGGTCCCTTGAGGTTTAGGTGCCATATTTTGTCATGTGTGGTTTTTGTTTTACACATTATACACACCTCAGTAGACAAACGCACACAGCTTTGTTGTCAGAGCTTAAACAAACTTGATTACAAACCCACTCCCACACACTCTCATACAAAGAAGCAAGTGTTGTGGTCGAGCAGGCACAAGCATGAGGGCCATTCGGTGTGTGTCAGGGGAGTCTCAGAAACGTGGCTCTACTCTGACATTGATGAATGTTCTGTCAAGGAGATGTCCCACTCATGCCTAGCTCCCCCTTTACCCAGGAGAGGGGACAGCCTGTGTGTGTGTGTGTGTGTGTGTGTGTGTGTGTGTGTGTGTTGGAGGGACAGAGGTTATCTTTGCACGTGCTCTTGTTTGTGTGGGTGTGTGCAGTTGTTTACACGCACTGCTGAGTGTTTTTTTTTTTTGGCATTACACGAGTCAGCGGTTCGGCGGCGAGGGTGTGAGTGAAATGGCAAAGAGCATGGGGTTAAACACTCTGACCCCAGCACAACCTTAAGGGGGCACCCTGCTGTTTTAATGGGGAAATCCATGATCCGTTTCCGATTCAAGCCTGAGACCCTTAAGTCCCCCTTTCACTTTTAACAGATTGGAAAACACACAGAAAGCTTAAGAAACAAACTGCCTTTCAATTAAATAAAATCCTCTTCGTACCTTCCTTTATATATCAGTATGACACAGTTCGCATTTAGCCAACAGAATACGGTAACACAGAGGAATTTAGAGATTACATCCCTGCACTCCTACTGTATTAATGTCAGTCCCTGTGTTTTGCTTGTTACTCACTCAACCAAAGGAAATAACTACTTTTAGCACCTGCTTTTTGGTCTCTGTAGTGATGACTTTTTCCGCTTAGACCCCACTCTTGTGTGCTAGCACTGCCTTGTTGCTGTCATTAAACCACTATGGCCGTGGCCTTCATTGCACTCTTAACGACAACAGTTTACCCCGGCAAATTCCGGGAGCCATTTGCAAGACGCAAGTCTAATTTTCCTTGATGACTATGCTTTTACGTAGTAATGATGAACAAGAGTAGAGGCAAAGTGCAACCAAGCTCAGTTTCAGGGGTAAGGCAATGCTGTGAAGTAGAATTGCAAGAGAAATATGGGTCTGTTTCACTTGATAGCGCAGTATGTTGTTGACATTTAAGCTTGAAACATTAGAATGAGAGTGACTGGGATGGACATAGATTCCACAGTGGATTTTTTCTCTTTTGTAGCGGTCAAGTGAGATAGAGGAGATGTAACCACCACTCTTACTCACTCTCTCTCAGCCCTCCCTTTCTCAGTCTGTCCCTTGATTACATTTTAATGATTTCTGCTGCCTGAGACAAATGGCTGTGTTAAATGAGCAGAATTAGACAAGGGAGCTGAGCGCAAGAGCATTTGTTAGAGCTGGAGTAATGGATCGGGCATCCTTTGTTTACTCTTCTCCATTCACTGGCTTGCCTGCTATTGAGCTCTGTGTCCTGAAAGCCGAGATGGCAAGAGTGGAGGGCCGCTGTTATAATTCTGACAAAGCGTGAACGTTATTATTGCTAAATTTCCAAATCTTACTTTTCTTTTACTTCTTTAGGGATTTTCCGTGATTCTCTATACTATAATGTTGAATTTCTTATATTTCCCCACATTTAAATGAATCTCATATTTTAACATGTAAGAATCCAGCTGCTGCATATATTAAGGCAGCTACTGGAATTACTGGAATTTAATTGAAATGATCAGTTGTTTAGACATTCCACATTTGACCTATGAATGCCAAAGTCAGTACTTGATGTTTTTTTCTTGATGTATCATAATTATATATGCTGTTTAAGCAGTCCAGTTTCCCCAAAGGGATTGTTGATGTGCATGTATTAAATCAATCCAGTTTGATGTATCTAAATAATCTAATTCTTGGGTCATACAAACTGTAGGACCATAATGCCCTTCACTGCGGAAGTCAGAGAGGGAGAAGTTTTCTGGAGCCACCCACTGAAACCCTTGCAGCTTTAGCATTGCTGACCTTACAACCTGACCTCCCTGTGTTATTTATTTGGTACCACCAGCCTACACTAAGATGTGGTGGTAGCTACTACCAGAGCTACTTCAACAGCTAGCCCTCCTCCTATGTATTTTTCCTATCCTGGCAGGCTGACAGGGAGTCAGGCATGGACAGTAAAGGGTGCTCCCTTGGCAGAGACAAGGCCTTGGTTTGCACTCCATGGGCACGGGCACTGCTATGGATCATTACTTCCCTCAGTGGAGTGGCTGCGTGCGAGCGAGCGTGCGTGTTAGCGCATACATGCATGCTTGCCTGCTTGTGGCAGAATGAGCGAGGGGGAAACTAAAACACAGAAAGAGCTATTAATATTAATGTCATTCTATCACATCAGCGGTCTCTCCATGCTTTTTGATGATCAGTTCCAGTGACTACTGCCCCCTAAAGTTCTTTTAGCCACGTTGGCAGCCAGCTACAGGCCTTGAATATTATTATGGAAGTTTAAAAAAAATAACACTATATAGATAAGAGCTAGAGTGATAATACTTACCATTATATAACGCAGATCTGGGACTTAAGATGTAAGATTCAGTCATATAATTCCATCTAATTGCACTTAACCATTTGTTCTAGTAAACAAGATGTTGAGTCTAGAATAGATTATCTGGTTGTCTGTGTTTTCTGCCTGGTTTTGGCAGGCAGCACCAAGAAGCAAGTACTATCCTCTGGTTGCCGCTACCTTCTACTCCTGCAATTGTTTGCACCACAGATCTTTGACAAAGCTATTACATTTTCCATTTCACGCCTGAAGAATGGAACTCCATATTAAGTTTATATAGGAAGAATAGTCAAATGAATATTAAGAACCTATGAATGATGAACAGAAATCATATGTTTAAGATTCCCTCTCTGTGTATCTTTGTATGGGGTTACTCTGCGTCACACACAGTAGTGCTATTGCAGTCTTAGTGAGTTTGATAGTGAGTGCGGCTAGGCTGTCGCCCGACTAATAGCAAGTTATCACTATTATTGGAGATGTAAGATAGATTGGTTAAGTGCTAGGAGCAGGCACACTGGAATATACTGAGTTGTAATCTCATTTAACAGCTCTTGAATTGCTCAAAGGTGTGTGTTTTGAAAAGTTTGCTCTCTGTGCGTATGTGTGAGTGTGTCTGGGGATATGGAGCTGCACTGCTGTTCCCGGGCCAGCTATTAGTCACACAGGAGTGGCTAATCTGTAATGGCTGCTGTCACAGCCCTGCCGTGGCTCCTGGTGATGGGGTGCGCTATGACAAATGCACACACACACAGTTTCAGCCTGAGAACACACATAACACACAAGTTCAGAACACACACAAATGATTCACTTACACATAAAGAATCATCCATTCCACCAATACAGTGTTACGGCTTCTGACAAGCTCTCCAGTACCAATCATCAGTCCAGCTGCAGGTGACAGATAGACAAGTGAAATTGGAGCCATCCTTCTATATTGGCACTACAGCAGCCTGGATCTGACCGCATAAAATCTACTTCTCCTGTATTTTTTCTGTCTCTCTAACTTTGTCTGTTTTTGCTTTGTCTGCTTCCAGAGCACAGTGGTAGTGGAGAAGTCCATCCAGGATCTAATGAGCTTAATGCAAGACCTGAGTGCCTACTCCAACCAGTTCCTCGAGATGGTTTGCGACAAGCTCAAAGAGTACAAGGAAATCTGCAACACAGCCTACAGGTAAAAGCGGCTCGCTCACCTGCAATAGGAGCCAAAATCCTTTCACACACACAATCGCTCACACATTGGTGCAGTGAAAGGCCATCCATCTGTGCTTCCTTGGGACCATGTAACACCTGGCCAGGTACCGGGGGGGTATAGAGGGATAACAGGGGAGGGGAGGGGGGTGGTATAGAGGGATAACAGGGGAGGGGGTATAGAGGGATAATAGAGGGCGTGATGAACTGGCCAGGCGACGCAGGAAAGGACTGACAGACTGCTAGGAGTCCATCTGGACTCTGTCACAGGTCGGCCTCAGTCTCACTGGGGGGGCCTCTGGGTGATAAAGACAAGCCTAACAGAGGCTGCCAAAGTGTAGGTGTGTATTTGTGTGTGTGCGCTGTGTACGTTTGTTTTTCTGTGTGCATTTACACATAAACAGGTCACTGTGTGTGTGAGAGAGAGAAACCCCAGAGTGCTTGTTTCTCCTGTACAAGGTGTTAGTATGATATTAATTGTGGAACCAAGCAGTTTCTCCGTCCCAGACATGCATACAAAGCAAATACATGTTGGCAGTCTGCCCCAGTTTGTCTTCACACCAAGCACTGGTGTAACATTATTTTATATATCAGTAAAAATACTCATGAACTACATGTTTGACTTTTAATGGTTCTAGTTGCTTTGTATGACTATTAGTGTTATACAGTTTACTCATTTTTAGCTTCACTTACTGTGTTGCTCCAGGGTAGTGCTAGTCTGTTTACAATATCTAACAACCTTTGGATCAATTGCAAATTTTGTTCAGACATTCTTGGTCTATAGAGGGTTAATCCAATTATCTTTGCATTTAATGCCACCAGGGGTCAGAATAACCATTTTTTCGCCTCAGTTTATGACCAAATACCTCTAGAACTAAAGAATGAATTCCCTTCAGTTTATATATTGTAATAGCGTGTAGCATTTTGGTAATGCTAAACATGCTACATGCAAGACGTTAACGTCTCACTAACATTTTAGCGTTCATAACTAAAATTCAGGCAGCTGAAACTAGTCTCCCGCTAATGTCTTTGTTAGTATTTTTGTCTGAGCAACAACATGTTTTATAACTCGCCTGAGTTTTTCTACATTTCACTGTGTGTGTTTCTGTGTGTCCTCAGGGGTATTGTCCAGTGTGAGGAGAAGCTCACCATCAGTGCTTCCTGGTCTAAAGACGAAGACATCAGTCGCCTGCTTCAGTCACTCCCTAACTGGGCAAATATGGCCCAACCCAGACAGACCCGACAAAAGAGAGAGGATGAGGAGGACTTTACCCGGTACGCACACAAATACACACACACTGTACTAGTTTATATAAATCTACATACTGTATGTCCAAACAACAAGAAGGGTAACATATATACATACTCGTGGACACCATACACACACAAGCAAACAGAAGCAGACACACAAAACCACACTTGAGCAATCACACATGTAATCCCTCCCTCTGTCTTTGCTCCTTTATTCACCTAATGTTGAACCCTCTGTTGTTGACTAAGATGCACCCATAAAATAAGTCATGATTGCTCTTTTAAACACCCCTCTGTCTAAAGGAAGTGGGAAGAACAAAATAGGAAAATATAAGGAGAGCAGACGGAGGCAGGGTGGGGGGGGTCAGTCTTATCGAAATTGCCTTTGAATGTGCGCACTCTTCAGGGAACACTGGAGCTCATCGGAGCAGAATAGTAAAGTAAATAAATAAATTGGTTATGTGGCCAAAGAAAGTCAATCTGTTGTGCACACGCTCCCTCCGTCTCTCACACACACACACACACACACAGAGTGAGAGCTCAGAGATAGCAAGAGGGAGACCATAAGGCTGTTTGATTTTTCGAGCTGTAGACGTTTTCATCATTATGAAAGGGGGATTAGCTTCTGCATGATTGGCAACCCAGTGCTTTAATAAAGGCTCATTAATACGCTATACATGCTTATGCGTGAGTGAGAGAATATGTGTTTGCGTGTCTGGTGGTTTCTTTTACCCTTGTTCAAAGGATCTCGATCTTGTGGGCACCCGGATCTTGCCCACTCTCTCCCTGTCTTTCTCGTGCTTGTATATATAGTGAAAAGGAGGTTTTGATCTCTTTGTTTTTCCACGCTACACATCTCTGCCTCCTGTTTATCTTCCATTTCTAAATATCCTATTTAGCTACTATCAACTCCCTCCCATGTCTATCTGGTTATCTACCCTTTATCCCTTTGATTGTCTTGTTTCTCTTTACTGTGTTTGGACATTTGTGCATCACTGTAAAGGTCACTGCCCTAATTCACTCCCACATCATTGCGCCGGTAAGCATTATTTCTTCATTATTAGAAAATTTGACTTTCTTGAAATAAACACACTGTATAAACACACTTTATAAATAAACACATAGATTTGCACTTCCATTCCATTCAGCAATCCATTATGTTTTAACATTTGAAAATTGGCTACTATTAGAGCGTTTGTGTAAGCCACTCACTCCCTCTGCAGACCAGACATTTTGGGTCCGACCAGTAAACCAATAACTGGTAATTTCCTTCAAATAACTTAAAACTGTGGACTGATTACAGGGTTTCTCTTAACTGTGCCTCTCAGTTGTCAAACATATATTTGTCTTAGCACTTTTTTGATTGCATTCAAATTGCATTCATTTTTGATAAAGGCTGTTTTCAGGTTGAGTCACATTATGTTTTTCTTTAACAGTTTGTCCTTCTAAAGACAAAAACTCTGATATCTCTCACTCTCTGTGTCGTTCAGGGCGGCTTTCGCTAAGGAGTCGGAGGTGCTGACCGGAAACCTAGGTGACAAGTTAATCCCCCAGAATGAGATTCTGCGTGATGTCAGTGACCTGAAGGCACTGGCCAACCTTCACGAGAGCATGGAGTGGCTTGCCGGTCGTCTCAAGACGTTCTTCTGCAACCTTCCTCATGCTTCCAGTAAGTAAGGAAAGCATCATTTTGGTTCAATGAGCAGGCATTTATAGTTTTGCACAAAAAGTGTCACACACACACACAAAAAAAAATGACCTTGAGAGACAAGTTCAGACCCTGCTTACTTTGTGTGGGGTTCCCAAAGCCGTTCACCCATCCAACAAGTGGTTCTGATGAAGTCTACTGACGCCATAAAACTCCCGCTATTTTTCATATTGTCATTGTCACAGTGTTAGCAAGTGCTATTGCACATCACCTCTTCACCTGATCTTCCTTCTCTCCTGGTTCTCTTGGCAAAAACAGACATATTTGAAGTCTCATACTTCTTTGCACAAGGAAGCTCTCTTATCTGTCTCATAGCAGACAAGAAGCTGTAACTTCACTAGATAATAAGTGATTGACAGACTGTATGCTGAAACTTAGCCCGTAAATAACTAGATTCTCTCAAACCTACCCACAACCCGTTCCTACTGACTGAATTTCTCCAAAGGTGTTATTCTGTTGATGAAAATAAATTAAGCAAAAAATAGATATTTTTGACACAAACACTGACATATGTAGTCAGTTTTGACGCCAACGCAGACATCTGTTGCTGTTTGCATTGCACCAAAGATTAGACTATCATTTTCATTTTCTTTCCTCGGTTTCTTGTTTGTCCACTTCGGCACAGACAGAGAGGCTTTCATGGCTGCCGAAAATGTTACAGTCCAGGAAAAGTACTGAGTATATGCTTGTGTAAAAGGAGACATCCAACAGATTTCAGGAGTATGATGGTTTAGTGAACGCTTAAACCCCAGAAGCACCACGAGATAAACCTTTGTAACACCATACATCCTCTACTGACTGGTATATTACAGTATAGTGCAATATTACATCATGGACATTTTTTCAGGAGAAGCTGCTGCAAGTCTCTCAGGTCGTTAAACAGTTATTGATCAGAGTACACTTCAGATTATAAACATTGTCTCGATGGTTTATGGAGGGTCACAGTCAGGGGTATATGAAGTTTTCTCATTGCTTAGCTACACTGCTTTTGTTACAGTACTTCTTACCTGTGCCTCATTAGGTTCTTGTTTGAGTGTATTATCACACACTCGTTACCTTCTCCACTGGAGTTTTCAAAGAGCACTTTACACACACACTCATTATCCTTGGCTCTTCCTCAGCGAGTATATGCGCGCATAACGCCTACCCTAATCAGGACTCTTAAAGTATTTCATACATTCCCTGCTCAGTCATCACTTTTCATTCACTCGTGAAAATGAGTGTGTGTGTGTGTGTGTGTGTTTCTATGCAACACAAGTCATCGTGTAGGCCTTGTATAGGCTATAGGATATATCAATATCACTTTGAGAACATGTTTAATCGAATAAAGATTGTAGCATCTTGGAATGTTCTTCAAGTATATTCACATTTTTATTAACATCATATGATGCCAATTAAAAGTTATTACTCCAATTAATGGCTCTTACAGTGGGGTCAGGTTGTTGTTGTGCTATAACTTGCAGTCTCTTATTTTGTATTGTCCTTATTCCATCAAAACAAGAGTATAAATGTGCGGCATAAAAGCTCTCTCCCAAATTCATACAGCGTAAACAGATGTCGGACTTAATTTCGTTCTCATTCAAAAGTCATGTTTCTTTAACGTGTTGTTTATGTCTTTCTAATAATCTCATTCAATATTTAACATGTTTTAAAAAATAAGTCATCAAGCTGAATTTCTAGAGTTGGATGGGTAAAATATTCTTGACAAGATGATGCTCTTGAACATCTTGTTTCTCTTGAAAAGGGCTCAATTGTCTCACCCAGCATTTAGATATTTGACATCCGTTTTGTTTTTATTTGTTATTAATAAGCTTTATACAGCACTGGATTCAGTTTCAACACATCAAAATCTGCGGTTATCACCTCGTTTGCTTCTAAAATATGTGTAGATGTTTTCGCCACTTATTTGTACAAGCTCTTTCATTCACCTCTGTAGTTATTGTGTCACAGGACTCGGGAGAAACTTAGCTGTGTTCACTGCGGTATCTTGGTCCTCTGGCAGAGCTCTGGTAAATTATGCACCTTTCCTAGAGGGATAGAAAGAGGGCTTCAACTCTTATCAGCAATTGTCACAACTCTCTAGCTTCAGACTTATGATTGCTCATTGAACTTGCACTATTTTGCTGTTCCATATCGCGACTTTTCTTTTAGACATAAAATAATTAAAAGAGAATTTTCAGATATTCTTATTTGGGCTTGACTTTGCCACTATCTCTTTTTAAACTCTTCCCTTCCCCACTCCCTCTGACGCTAGCTTTCTTCGTTTATTCATAGATAAGAATTCAATAAAAGTACGGGAAGGGACGTGACATAATTATCATTATTTCTGGCGGGTGGCACTAATGGGAAGGATAGGGCAGTCACTTATCATGCTGGGACAGCCTCCGTATTGTTCATTATTTAGTGTTTGCCGAGCTGATGACGGACTGTGTGTGTGTGTGTGTGTGTGTGTGTGTGTGTGTGTGTGTGTGTGTGTGTGTGTGTGTGTGTGTGTGTGTGTGTGTGTGTGTGTGTGTGTGTGTGTGTGTGTGTGTGTGAGTGAACATACGCATGCACTGTGTAAGATGGGACAAGGGTACGGCAGGGAAAAAGGACCCCACCTTATCTCATCCTCCACCCCCCGCCTCACGTCTATGCCTCTCCAAATTGGATTTTATATTACAGAAGCAGTCAGGTATGAACAACTCATTTTCCTCTCCCTCTTTTTGCTTTTTCTTGCTTTCATTCCTCTTTCTTACTTTCTTGCTTCCTTCTTTCTTAGTATTTCTTTCTATCATGGTATTTCTTTCTTTCTCCCTTTCTTTTTTATGCCTCTGCGCCAACAACAGCCATGGCCGGAGGCATTATGTTTTCCAGTCGTCCGTCTGTCCATCCCATTCTTGTGAATTAGATATCTCAGGAACCTCTTACGGGAATTTCTTCAAATTTGGCACAAACGTCCACTTGAATTCAAGGGTGAACTGATTAGGTTTTGGTGGTCAAAGGTCAAGATTACTGTGACCTCATAATGTCCTGGAAAAACACTTTTTGGCCATTATTCAACAACATAACTCAGGAACAGAAGGTTAGATTGTGACCATATTTCACAGTATGTTGGACACTGAATATGTGACACGTTTGACTCAAAGGTCATTGTGACCTGAAAATAGGTTTTTAGCCTTAATTTAATAATGAATTGGGCGGTTCCAGATTTCACACGTTAACAAGCACACTAGAGGCTTTCCTTCATCTCATCCATTCTGCCTTTCACTTCCTGAATTATTCTGAATTTCAAGCATCATCGAAAACACGTGACTGCAAACAATGCATTGGAGCAGGCCTAGCTAACCGTGAGTGAGTTGTGTCTCCTGTACCAGGTGTTAGTATGATAATTGTGGAACCAAGCAGTTTCTCCAACCCAGACACATGCATACAAAGCAAATACATGTTGGCAGTCTGACCCAGTTTCTCTTCACACTAAGCGCTGCTGTAATACTATTTTATACACTGCTCAAAAAAATAAAGGGAACACTAAAATAACACATCCTAGATCTGAATGAATGAAATAATCTCATTAAATACTCCTTTCTTTACATAGTTGAATGTGCTGACAACAAAATCACACAAAAATTATCAATGGAAATCAAATTTATCAACCCATGGAGGTCTGGATTTGGAGTCACACTCAAAATCAAAGTGGAAAACCACACTACAGGCCGATCCAACTTTGATGTAATGTCCTTAAAACAAGTCAAAATGAGGCTCAGTAGTGTTTGTGGCCTCCACGTGCCTGTATGACCTCCCTACAACGCCTGGGCATGCTCCTGATGAGGTGGCGGACGGTCTCCTGAGGGATCTCCTCCCAGACCAGGACTAAAGCATCCGCCAACTCCTGGACAGTCTGTGGTGCAACGTGGTGTTGGTGGATGGAGCGAGACATGATGTCTCAGATGTGCTCAATTGGATTCAGGTCTGGGGAACAGGCGGGCCAGTCCATAGCATCAATGCTTTCCTCTTGCAGGAAATGCTGACACACTCCAGCCACATGAGGTCTAGCATTGTCTTTCATTAGGAGGAACCCAGGGCCAACCGCACCAGCATATGGTCTCACAAGGGGTCTGAGGATCTCATCACGGTACCTAATGACAGTCAGGCTACCTCTGGCGAGCACATGGAGGGCTGTGTGGCCCCCCAAAGAAATGCCACCCCACACCATTACTGACCCACCACCAAACCGGTGGAGGATGTTGCAGGCAGCAGAACGTTGTCCACGGCGTCTCCAGACTCTGTCACGTCTTTCACGTCTGTCACATGTGCTCAGTGTGAACCTGCTTTCATCTGTGAAGAGCACAGGGCGTCAGTGGCGAATTTGCCAATCTTGGTGTTCTCTGGCAAATGCCAAACGTCCTGCACGGTGTTGGGCTGTAAGCACAACCCCCACCTGTGGATGTCGGGCCCTCATACTACCCTCATGGAGTCTGTTTCTGACCGTTTGTGCAGACACATGCACATTTGTGGCCTGCTGGAGGTCATTCTGCAGGGCTCTGGCAGTGCTCCTCCTGCTCCTCCTTGCACAAAGGCGGAGGTAGCGGTCCTGCTGCTGGCTTGTTGCCCTCCTACGGCCTCCTCCACGTCTCCTGATGTACTGGCCTGTCTCCTGGTAGCGCCTCCATGCTCTGGACACTACGCTGACAGACACAGCAAACCTTCTTGCCACAGCTCGCATTGATGTGCCATCCTGGATGAGCTGCACTACCTGAGCCACTTGTGTGGGTTGTAGACTCCGTCTCATGCTACCACTAGAGTGAAAGCACCGCCAGCATTCAAAAGTGACCAAAACATCAGCCAGGAAGCATAGGAACTGAGAAGTGGTCTGTGGTCACCACCTGCAGAACCACTCCTTTATTGGGGGTGTCTTGCTAATTTTTGGACCCCTTTAACTCTATCATGCTGCTGATTCTTAATTGAATTTAGGTGTGTTT